CCACACCCATGACCACCCCACCACACCGCCAACGACCAAGTGCACCGCCAGGGGACCACCCACAGGAACCAAGAGCCACACCTCAGGAGACCAAGCAGCACCAGGRRRGAYGGAGAGCCAGCCCCGCCCCCGGCGACCATCCAAGCCCCAAGCCCACCCACAGCCCAGGACCGCACCCGGCGGCCCGCCCTTCTTCAGGACTCCCTCCCCAAATGGCAGTCGGGGAACGGGATGGGAATAAAGACCCTGACACCCCCACCCCCACCCCCAGATGTACTGTTGGTGCGTGTTGTTCTATTGAGTAATTAAAAAGGGAAAGAAGAAGAGGCGGAGGCTGGCGTGGTGCCAAAAAAAAACATGGATTTTGCATGATGCAGTTTATTGTTTTATCTTTTGTTTGTTAAAAAAGGAGTTTCAAACCTCTAACTTCGTGATTTGTTTTTTATGTAAGATGTCTGATTTTAGTAATTATCTTCAAAGAGGAAAAATGCCCATTTACTGGGTTATTTGCCAACAGAACTATTCCACTGCGAAGAACTGTAGCCTCTCTGTAAATGGCAGCTTACAGTAGAAAACCGCAGCTTCATCACTAACTTTCTGCTACACTGCCTCCTCTCCTTCCTCGCCCTACCAGTTTCTGCCTTCATATGTTTTTCTCACTCATCGATTTGTCCACGTTTCCATCTGTCCGCACCCAGCTGTGTCTGTCTCACAATCAAACATGAGATTTCAGAAGTCAGTGATCCGATTCTGACAAAACACAAAAGGCACCGTATTATCGCGCTGAAATTCCAGGTGTGAAAACTCAGAACAGCTGTTGGGAGACACAGCTTTGTTCGGTCAGCTGTAGCACAGCATTAAAAGGAAACAACTCAAAACTTTGTAAACTGTACATTACATTAAAGGCCAAGCTTTCCTTGAAAAAATACACATAGTAATCATGTGTAACTCCATGAGCTTATGCTCACGTTTCAAATAAAGATCTTAGACAGTAAGTATCACTTGTTGTGAATGACTCTCAGCTACAGACACCCCAAAAACTTTGGCAGGTGTTTTTGTAAATGCAGTATACTCACAAAATGTCTCAGAATTGATCCCAACATGTAAGAAAACTGTGAAAACTGCATCATGTTACAACCAAAACTGTCTAAAAAGGCAGGATGTCTCAAGCTGTTTAACTGGCACGTTAAAAAATCAATCATTACTAGACAAACACACACACTTTGCCCAAATAACAAGAACCAAGCTGTGAAAGCAAAAAAAAAGTGAGAGATGCTTGTGTGGACCAAGTAGGAAACCACCTACAGCTGAGCAGTCCCATTAAAACACAGGCAGAGATTGACAAGTAGAATAAAACTGTTCATGGCGTTTGTGGCCGAGCTTAGTTTGACTTCAGTAAAAGTTTGGTCTCTTTCTCTTTCATTTCTCTCCTTTTTTCCCAGTTTGCCTCCTTGATTCCAGTTTGTTGCCTCACCTGTCTCCAGCTGATTATTAAACTCGGCTTTCTTCTTCTCCCTGGCTGCTTCTTCCTCCATCACTCCTAATTTTCCCTCTTTCCTTTGACGTTTCCGGTTACCGTCTGTTTCTCTCTGCAGCAGCTTCATAAAAGGGAGATGGGGACATGCAGAAAAAAAGGAGGGGATTGAAATGAATCAGGCAGTCGTGCACGTATTTCTTTGGAGTAGACACGAGGTTGCTTTTATTTAAAAATGCTTGTGCAACAAATGTCCAGAATATTTGACAAAGGATATATATATATANAAGCTGAAAGTTATATTGATTGAATGTTTAGCTGTTTTATTTTAAAGTAATAAAAATAGTGCTTTTTGTGATTTTTATTTTTATTTTTGTTACATTACTTCTGTTCAAAAAGTTAGGAAGTCTCAAAAGTTTACAACAATACAAATTTTCTGCACTGCTTTGAACTTTTGCTACAACATACACAAATTTCCTTTTAAAATACAATACAATATGTTAACTTGGCTTCCTTTAAAAATAATACAAATACTATTACATAGAAATAAGCATGGTTTGAAGTTGAGGCATTTGTATATAGGGTGATAAGTGTAAAATTAAATATTAAACAATTTCACTAACATATTTTTTTTATTTAGTTCACTTTTTGAGTGTTAAAAATGTTCCCACTAATATTTTATTGTTATTTAGCTCACTGTTCTTACATTTAGCTAATTTTTACTGAATGATAAATTTAAATGTTTAAACAATATATTTAAATATTAAATCCTAAATCTAAATGTTTAAATCTAAACGCAAAAGCTAACCCTTAAATGTTGAAGTTAAGTCACATTTAGGTATTTTGGAATGGAACACAGCTTTCGCTATTGGTGCTCAGCTCAAGTTATGACATCATCATTCTGAGACAATAGCAACCACTAATGCTCCAATGCAGCAAAAGCTTTCCAGAAAGCAAATTTGCAGTTATGGCTGGTGTCTGAGCTGCATTTTAAACTGCTGGACCACAGGTACCCATATGGGATTTTATGAACTCATTTTGAATTTAAATTTTAAATGTTATATTATTATTAGGTGGCTAGCAGCAGCCATTGTTGATGTTTGTCGCAGGATGATGACATCATCCTGGTTATCTGACGTTAATGTCTGCTAGCGCTTCTAATGCTGCTAATGATAATATGACGTTGGAAGGTGAGCTGAGCCCCAACTCCATTCCAAAATACCTAAATGTGAACTTCAACATTTAACGTTTAACTTTTACTTTTAGATTTAAACATTTAGATTTAGGATTAGCTTTTAAATATATATTTTTTAACATTTAAATTTAACATTTAGCAAAAATTAGCTAAATGTAAGAACAGTGAGCTAAATAACAATAAAATGTTAGGATAAAAAATTCAACACCCAAAAAGTGAGCCAAATAATGAAAAATATGTTGGTGATATTTTTCACATTTTTATTACACTTGGCGCCCCAAGAGTTGCTTGATCGTAGCTCAGGCACCGTTTCTACATTTTACACAAATGCAGAGAAAGCCAGATTAAAATCTGTATTAATGCCATGTTTTCATTGTTCCATGATGCRTGATGTGAGAAAAGCTTAAGTAAAACACAGAGTGTGTCATTAGTTTGAACCATCCCAACTCATGTTTGAGACCGACTTCCTTTAAACTGTATTAATGATTAACTTATTGAGGTGAAAAATGAAGCAACTCTCAGTTGGAGTGAAAGGCACCTCACACTGATGTGTATCGTACGGTTGTTATTTGTGAATTTGGCAAACGGTTTAGTTTGCCACCTGCTGTTCACCCCTGACTGCTCAACTCTGTATCCAGATCCCCCGTCTTTCTCTCTTCCTGCGCTTCTCGTTCTTCACCAGAATGACAGGATTTGAGCATCCAAATCTCACATTTTCTATTTTTATCCTTTTTTTCCCTCAAATGCAACTGACAGGTCTGAGTGTTCACACTTAACTGTGTAAACGTTATAGAGATCTTTAAAACTGCCAAGTTTACTTCTGAAAAAAGCCATCCATCTATCAAAATGAGTGGCTTTTACATTTGCACAAAAATACGCAGGCATGAAATATGCCTTGAACATTCGCACAGAAAAGTTTTCCTCTGCTTTTTCCAGTGCTCGGGTTTTTTATTATTCTTTATCTGAACTACACGTGTGCTGCAAGCTTCAACATCAGTGTTGCTTTATTAAAACCTTAGCTCAGACACAGCAAATGGAGCATATCTGAAGATCTTTGAATTCTGGTAACCAGACGCTGATAGGATGTTCTTCAAGTCCTGGAAATTGAGATATGTGGCCTCGATGGATGAGATTTGTTTATCCAGCTCTTTCACCTTATGGTCAGTAAGTTTAAAGAGCATCCTGCCATGTGAAGATAAGGAACAAACAGACCAGAGTTTCCATGTAATTTAAAAGGAAAAGGTGATAAAACCACTTTAAAACCTTTGCTTCTTGGTTGAATTTTGATGCTCATAAATACATCTTTTTTTCTGATACCTTTCTACCAGAATTAACCACTATTAATGAGCTGGGTGTTGCTTTAGATTTTGCTTGGCTCTTGTTTAGTAGGTTCTGTTCACTGCAGAGCAGAAACATCACTAAAAAACTGCACTTGTTGAGATTATTTAACTTTTGAATAATTCTAGTTTGGCCTTTGCTGAAGTTGCTCCAAGACCTCTAGTTTGTCCATTTTTCTCTATAAGTTCAGAATGTATTTCCTGTTTACAACAGGTGTGATTGTTAGGAGGTAAACTCTCAGTTCATCAGTCAGTGGTCACATTAGTAACTGATGGAAAATAAATTATAACTAAGCAATACTGTTTAAGACTTTGGCAGCTACTTAAAAAAAAGGAAAAGAAAATTAAAAAATGTCATTTTGAGTTAGAAATCAGAAGTAGGCATTTTAAAAAGTCTCAAACATAAATATTTACTTCAAACTCGTGTACGGCTCACGGGGCATGAAGTGTCTTGAAAGCTGGGGATAAAATGTTTATCTCGGGAAAACAACATGGATGCACTCACTGTAAATCTCCAACGAGAATTAAAGGCTCAAGTTTTGGAACCGATTGTTTGCTTTCAGACTGGCCTCGTTTTATTTGGTGGGTCAAAACTGTCTACCAGAAAATCCACCCAGTTTGAAACAAATTTTCTTTAAAAGGGACTGTTTTATACAAATATTCCTYCTAAATGGGACTTGACAATAGCCATTGTTATTCTGTTGTGTGAAAGAATAAATTATGGATGGTGGGAAAAAAATCCAAAGAAGTTGGTTGAACTAGTTTCTATGAACTAAAACAAAAGGAAAAAAATCAATAAATTTCATTAATTCTCTAAAAGYGACAATAACAGAACAAAAACATGTAACGCCTGATTATTTTAAACTTTTGACTTAGTATAAGACACTTTAATTCAAATTAAAAAAACATACATAAACACATAGAGCAGTAGATTCAACATGTTTCACCATAAATACTGTCCTAAAGTGCAAAGTTGACCAAACATAATCCCAGTCTTTTTGTTTCTTTTGTTAATAAATCAATTYGGCTTTGAGAAATTACATGTACCTTTCAGAGCTTTTAATGTATTTATTTTCAAACAAATAATGTTTTATGACCCTATAATGCACATCATCAACCAGAGGATCCAGTCTTAAAAACATTGTTTTTATYGTGCTAGTTGAAGTCACTTCACATTACAATGAAAAACTTTTTTAAATGTTAGTCTAATTTAAGAAGCAAATATGGCTGGACTTCAGAAAAGTTTAGGTTTCGGATAACATGTGATTAATGTTTTGTTTTAAGCATTTAACTTTTTTTTCTGATGTTTGATGCTTGTGCATCTCTGACATTTGTACATGTGATTTCTCAACAGTTCATTCTGACCAATAAAGTTGACCGTTCTATTCCTCAAGGTTGTACCTCACACATAAAGCTTTTTTTATGCATAAATAGTTCTTTTTTCCCGTGTAAAAACAGCCTGTAGATAAGGTAATACATTGTTTTAAAAGTACGAACACACATGGAATACAGCTGACAAATACAGTCTTTTGTGATGAAGTGAACATTCRTGTTCTGTCAGATCAATCTTTAACTCAGCTAAACGGTGCGATGGCTTAATAAATAACATCCAGTCTGAAGGATGAACGCTTCCCTTCAACATTAGTCAGTAGTGTTGGTCTCCATTGGAAAAAGGCTAAGTTTCACTACAAATTTGGAAAGAAAATAGTTCTGTTAGACGAGTTCTTTAAAAGGTGAATTTCTAGTTCAGTCGAGCAAACTTCAGCTTCTGTGTTCGATTCCTCTAAAATCCTAAAGTCACTTTGGTTGAGTTTGGGTAACTATCTTTAAACACACAATTATAAATTCAAATTCATGGTTTAAAAATATACATCAATCYTCATATCTTATGTATACTATATATATATTCATTCAGACACACATACATACACTAACAAAACACCATATAATAATGATATGGTGACATGAGCCAAGCTCAGGTGTTAATCCTGCACACTCTGTGTGTATTTATCTCCACATCTCCACAGATTATATTCTGATCTCCGCACAGAACTGGCTTTGGGGTTAGAAGCAGATGACGCAGAAAGATAACGATTCTCCAATAGATGATAAGAATTAAATTGAGAACGTGAAGCAAAGCGCTCAATGCTTCGCTTAACTTTTTTCTTTGCTAGTTTTAGAGCATAAACTTATTCCCAAACGCTGTTGTGAACATCATACCCCACCTAAAGCTTAATGTAGTTTTACATTACAACACGGCTGACTAAGAGCTGCATAATGGTGTTYTTAAAAGGCAAGCCTATGGACTAGTGTGCCTCATGCTTTTTTTATTTTTAAAGTTTTTCCCCTGCCTCATTCCATCATTTAATAAAACATAAATATTTTTCTTTTTTCCCTCCCCAGGAACATAAACCTCAAAATGTCTCCATATTCTGCAGTTTGCCCTATTCTGTAAACTAGCTTTAATTATGTTGGAAACGACTCTAGAAGGTTGTGATTTGCAGATCTTCCCGCTCACTCTGTCCAGTTTCATCTCTAATAGTTTTGCAGCTCTGGAATGTTCTTGTAGAGGTCCAGTGAGGCCGGGTTGGAGAACGCTCCTCTTTGTGCCACTTCACGCCCGGCAAGAACCTGCTTCACGGCCACCTCCACCTTCTTACCACTGATGGTGTACTGCAGAGAGATGAAAAGGCAGCTGTCAGTCAAGTCATGACTGACTCCTGCAGAATAGGCTGACAGGCTCATGTCGCATATTCATATTTTTGTCTTACAGGAATGTCTTTGGTTTCCAGCAGCAAGGCAGGGGTGTGTCGGGCAGACAAAGCTTTTCTGATGGCTCCTTTAATCTTTGTCACCAACTCTGGACAGAAGAGCTTCCCGGGTGCCATCTTTAGGAACAAAATCACTCGCTCTTCTCCGTCTGCGTTGTACTGGGGGACACAAAGACTGTCTGACACTTCCTCGAAAGCCTCCACTGCAAGAAAAGAGGCAGAAGAGGAGGACGCAAATCAAAAATGAGAAGAGCAGATGAGAAGGACTGATAACAGAGGAGGTGTGAAGCAAAGAGAAAAGGCAAAGAAAAGATTCAAAGAACAGTCTCGGAATCAAGCGCCAAAACACCTTTTCTGTAGGAGAGAAATCCGGCTTTTCTTACTTTATAATGCACGGTAAAAAAGTAATAATTAATCAAACAAAAAAAGATCCACAACTCGACTTTAGTTCATWAAAATCTTTAAGCTTTCTCTTACCGTCCCGTGTTATCACTACAACTCAGTCCACCTTTAATATTTACCTCCACTAACGGCGAGGTAGTGTTTTCGGTCGCRTATGTCTGTCTGTCGTTCTGTCTGTGGGCAACATTACTCAAAYACTTGYGGWCKGATTGTCATGACATTTAMAGCACATGTGGGTACTGGGCCAAGGAACACACCAATAAATTTTGGTGATGTTCCGGATMACRATGMRGATAYAGGAATTTTTTTTCTTTTAACACTCTGAGATCAGCAAAGCTGTGATGCTTTCACAGGGCTTCTGCAAAAAACTGTGACAGTTCTGTGTTTGGACTTCAAACTTTATAAAAGTAATGTTAAAACCAGATGTAATGATGAATAATTCTTGCCATTATGTGCGCATTTTTATGCATTTGGTGAGCATTTAGAGAACGTTTTGTGACCACGAAGTGCGTGACTGCACCATGAAACCTATTTTTCCCATTTCCTCAAACACACCACATTGTCAGCAGGCTTGTACACAGATCGATGAAGACTGAGGAAGAGGAGTGRCGCGGTGGCCAAACTTTGTGGAAAAAAGAATGCGCAGAGCGTGGTTGTGACCGCTGTGTGTGTTTCTCACAAACATAGGAAGACGCGTGTGTGTCTGTGTGACTACATGCGTGATGAAWWCTCTGCTTTTTTGAATCACGTAGCACCGATGCGAAAGCTTTCAACAATAACGTTGGGTGACAAGTCTGACTTTATTCTTTTTTTTTTTCACATTGGACTCCACCGGGAAGAAATCCCGTGCATACTGCCTGCTTAAATGTTCGCTACATCAGAACTTATTCAGCAAATGTGTTTCCTTCTCTGCTTTTGTGCATTTACTCTATTACAGGATGGGGGAAATTGGACTTGGCGGAGGTTTGCACTCTCCGAGTGCTTCTAGTTACCTATGTTGTAGATCTCAGAGCTCCCAAAACGGACTCCGTTAGGGTTCAGCGTACCATCGCTGCAAAAACACAAAACAAAACAAAGGTTTAAACAAATGTTCCAATAGCATTCAAACCTGTCCAACAGTACTGGCCAATAAAGAAGTGAGTTTTAGCAATAAATGATCAACAACTGGCAGCTGACCTTCTGCCTAGCATGATGATGCCTCCTGTCTTCGAGTTGATTTTACAGTAATCTCCGTGAGCCCACACCCCTGGAGGGAAAGAACAAAAATATTAAAGTAGAGGAGTTTTAATGCTGACTGCTAAATGACTGTGGTCGGCAAACAGAAAAGAGATAAATTAGCAAARCTAAAATTAGTAAAGCAATAGCTGAAAGCTAAATAAGACAACAAAAAGAGTAAATGTGCTGAAGTGGAAGTAGTTTGACTGCAAAACAACAAACTGCTGTGAGTGTGTTTCACAGTCATAGTGGTTTGGATTTACACAATGCTGAGTCAGCATTCACACAATACCATAACACCAGAAAACATCTCTCTACGAAGCATTAGATTGTGTTACACAGTTAGGTTTTCAGTAAAAATGATTGTGTTTACCAGGAAACGTAGAAAAGTAGGCTTTATGATATTTGCTCCCGTTCTCGTCATTCCAGAAATGAGTCGGTTGACAGGGGATCGGCTTCAGGCAGACAAGTTCTCCACTCTCTTCCCAAACAGGCTTACCTGTTAACATCCAAACACAACCCACTCAGATACACATAAACCAGTTTTTTTTCCAGACATAAAATAGRTTTTCAACTTTATCTTATGGCAAATGCACAGTAAAGTTGGATGCAAAGGCATTAATACAGCCATATAAAGGTACAGAGTATATACACCACTCTGAGAAAACCCAATACACTTCAGTGTGCTTTTATACTTTAACACTAAACTCCTTCAGGACAGTGTTATAGACTTGAGCAATAATCCTAAAATGTTCCTGCAAAAGTCCCTTCAAATGAGCCCTCAGTTTATTTTTCTTTAAGGTGGCAGAGACCTGCCAGTGCAGCTTACAGAAGGAAGCTTTTAAAACACATAAGAAAACAAATCTTTATGGGGATTTTTTTTTGTATAGTTATTTATCCAGGAACAGATATTTTTACTCCTGCAATTTTTCAGCTACTGTCACTCTTGTTTTAAACACATGTAGATTTCTCGGAGCTTAAATATGAACGTTAATCAATTTAAACTATATCGCAACGTTCTTACAGCTCAACAGCCCATGGGCTTTTAACAGAAAAAAATTTATGAATAGATCTGAAGAATTTCCATCATTTTGTCCCCCCCACTGTCTTACCGTCAAGGCTCCAGGCTTCTACAGCCATACCAAGATTCCTTGATTGGATTTCTCCCCGATACACTGGAACTGTTGGGTTCTGACCCATGAAACATGACACAATGTCAGTGCCACCTGGGAAAAAAGGAGAAAGASAGAAAAAATACACTAAGTGTTAGTGAAGTGAATCGTGCCGATGACTGTCTAGACCTGGCAATATTTCACAACTTTTATTAAATAACCATTGAAGTTTACGGAGATATTTTGAAGACACAAAAAGGTTTTATACTTTTAAGTTAGGCTCATAGTTAAACAGTTTTTTTAAGTTTTTTTTTCCACTTGTTTGCATTTTTGGGCAAAGACAGTAATAAAACGGTTATTTCTCACGCTAAAAGACTCAAACATCAGCTTTTGGTGCATTATTTTTAGACCTGCATAATTTAACCTATCCTGTTCCAAACACACACATCAGTCATATAACTAGGAATGGGCCCAACTTTCATTAGGGGATATTTTTCTCTCTTGATGTAATGTGACATGTAAAAACTGAACAGTTATAGTTCTTGATAGTCCCAAGAAACACTACGGTTTGAAAACATRTCCTTTTTAGACAAAATGTTTCTTTTCCAGAATTAGATTTTATTCAATTTCTATCATTCCATTTTATTTTATTCAGAGGGAACACAAAATGAGGCAAAAATATTTCTCAGAGTCATTTTTTACAAACTYTGGCTCAGACCCTCAGCGCTTGAAAAAAAAGGGGCTTGTCCATTTTTTACTGGAACACGACGATGCCTTTTCATGCGTAATTTATGATCCACCACCTGCTTGACCGTGTTTGACCAAAAAACCTAAATTYTGTCATCTGTACCAGTTCATGAGGAACTGCCAAGTCCCCCAACGGTCCACCACATGTAGTCCAGATTTTTGTGACCTCATGCACCATGTGACCCGACAACGCTTGCTTAATGATAAAACTCCCATTTTACACAAGATGCATGAAATTCCCAGTAAAAAAGAAAACTCAAACTTTTTATTCTACATTTTTTGATCCAACGGTTAACAATGCATCAACAATTTTGGCCACACAAACAGAGCCAATGTAATGCCCATCCTTACAAGTTATTTTCACACCAGTTATCCTAAATAATCTGTTTCCTGATTTCTTGTCTTTGCTGTAAAGCAGACGGCCAAAGAAGCAAATAGTCCATAATCTATGACTGGTTATGAAACGTGTCACTAACTAAAAAAACACTTAACTATCATTAGTTTTAAGAGGTATTATTACATTATTATAATCTCTGTGTCAGTAGAGGGCACAAAGCYGCTAATCTGCTAATAGCAGAAYTWACTTTTTATTTAGCATATTAGGATTTTTCTTWATTTTGGAAACCGTTAACAGATTGAGCTGCGTCTATTAATTTTAGGTCCACTAAAATTTTCACAAGTGTTACACTTCTATTTTTATGCTATTTCCCCCTAATTAAATAAAAAACCATCCACTCTTACAAGAAGTGCTGGACATGTCAAATTGTATGTAGCATGTAGCATCTTTAGAAGCTAAAATTCAAACTAAGAGCATCCAAAAGAAATAAAATGACATTCAACAATATTTAAAAAAAAAATACAAAAAATGAGTATGTGTAAAATATCGTAGAGAAAGTGTTTTGCTGTTTGACTAACTTCAAACGGTATCAATAAAAATACAAATTMGATCAAAAAATGCTTTTATTCTGAAAGGGTTAAACTGGAAAAATCACAAGTTAGGAAGAGCTATAACTGATTTGGATTGGCCAATTTGCCACAGAAGACCCCCTCACCCTCATATTAAACCAATAGAAAATTAACAACAGTGTCTTTAGCARTTTAGCATTAGCGGAGCTAAGATTCTAGGATAGTAAAGCTAACTTTTTGGTTACCTCTGCCCACCATTGCTCTGTGTAATACACATGAAATTTCAATTACCGTATTTATTCATGTATAATACGATCTTGTATAATACGACCCCCACCCCCACTTTTATGAGCTTAAAAAGCATAAAAATTTTAATCCTCAAACTACCTCCAATTTCATACAGACTTCAAGATTTTTCAGCCTTTGCAGTCTTTATACATATCAGTAAAATGATCATTGGACTGTTCATTTTATTTTAACAACATATGTACTAAAAGGTATTTTGACAACAAATATTTATCAGCTGTAGCAGCATCATATGAATTCTGGCATTTTACACACAGTCCACCAGGAGGCGCGAAAATAAAAGTCAGAGACTTCACATGAGATTTGGGCCGTCTTCTGGGGCAAAAGCAGATTACTTCATACTCGCGAGCGCCTCGTCTGGTGGGGAAAGTTTTTTTCAGGGATACAAACTTTTTCAGAACACTGGTAGACGGCAGCCATTACTAGGGTTGGGCATAATCGTATCGTGCGCGATTAATAGTCAGAAAAACATTAATCAATTATTTTTTGGCACTTGACGATTAATACGATTAATGCAACCAGGCAGACTGACTGGAGATTTCTCCAGTCAGTCTGCTTGGGCCTCCTCTCCGCTTCAAATATGACAAACATAAAAAAAGTTCTGTAATTTATTTATCTATCAATACAATTTAAAATTTGATGTACAGCCTGAAGTCTGTAATTTTGACAAAATTTGGAACAGATTTTTACGAAGAGCAAATATTTCCCACTAAATTGGTCATTTGACTGGAACATAAAGGTGTCCAGGCACTTCAAGGGATTAATCGTCAAATTAATCGTTATCGGCTAAATACCACAATTAATCGTGATTAATCTTTTTGCCAATATTGCCCAACCCTAGCCATTACAGACGAACATGTGTTTGTTGTTGTTCCAGGAGCGGCTCGGTCACACGTTAATGTCATTAGTTTGTTATCATTACTAAGGTGCAGGAATACTTTCCCCCCCTTTTTTTCACATCATGTCGCCTGCCTGGATCTGTTATTATCTCGCTTTGAGGCACGGAGGAGTGTCAGAGGTAAGATCGCTTCAACGACTTTTTACGACACAGTCTCATTTCCGGACTCAGGCATTTTGTGAATGAAGCCGATATTTCAGTTAAAATACATAAGTAAAAATATTTATCCGAGTATGGTATTACCCMCCAACTTTATGGATTATTTTATGGATTTGATTTTATGTATTATACTTGAATAAATACGGTAAGCTCTTTTAAACATTCCAATTACTGCATGGCAAACAAAGGAAAATGTCTACAAGGAAAATGTCAGCACTCTTCAGGAAATTAGAACATTTCTTTCAAACAGGTCTGAGACTAACAATGCTTTGCTGGGAATTTCTGACCATTTTCTACAAAACGTGAAAGGTACAGTCCTGCCACTGACAGAAATATCCCTGTATCCCCAGTGAACACCAAGCTAGGGACATTTGTTTGTACTAGTATCAGTCTGCTCCGTAAACTGCTGGTGATAGCACGCTGCTCCACCTTTATTGACCTATTTAGGAGTTTTCCTTCTTTGCAAACACCTTCCTAAAACTGCCATGATGGCACACATCCATTTGTCTCTTTCTACCCTCCAATCATCCACTATTCCTGACACATTCTATTCATCTCCCCTCCCATTGTTCCCTCTCTGCCTCCCTGCCTCGCTCCTCTCTGTATCACAGACTACATCCATCCATCTTGTTCCCTTGCTCTCTGCCCTTCTACCACTCCTCCCTCCTCTTTTGCTTTTCTATCCGTTCTTTACACTCGGTTTCTCTGTCTGCCAGGTTCTTTATTGAGCTTTAATTGGCTCCCTGGAGGAAGTGGAAACTTTGCCTTCTGATTACACACAAACACACTTTTAGTGGGGAAGATAAGCAATTATCTTATTGTTCCTCTCATCTTCATAGGTGGGCACACACAGACATGGCTGCACACACACAGAAGCACATTTTAAACCAAAAGTCACTGTGGATTTCTCGAGATGACTTCCATAATATTCCGTGCGCATGCGTACGTGTGAACGAGGAGGTAACTTGTCACATTGATCTTATGTTCCAAACAACGCTCTTCAGTTTGTTTTTTCTTTTATCTGAATCCATGTCTGTGTGAGAATCGGTTTTCGTTAATAGAGGTATGAAAGCTGAAACATCCTCTGAGACTGTTCAGGGTCAGACAAAGCCCCAAACTGCCACAAACCAACCAAACCACCTACGCGGCTAAATTATGTATGCGTTCTTTTATTAAAGAATGAATTGCACAAGAAAAATATGTGAAAGTGGCACGATCAAACAAGTTTAGTTGTAGCAGAAACACACACACACACACACACACACACACACACACACACACACACACACACACACACACACACACACACACACACACACACACACACACACACACACACCAAGAGGAGCTGGAGTTCAAGGAGGGCAGGGAAGTGACATATGGGTAGTCAGATGGAGGTATATTAGGATGGAGAGTATCAAGCAGTGAAAGTGTTAATATCACCCAGTGAAGGAAAACATAAATCTGACATCCCTGCTGGTAGGAACACACACAAGCACTCACATGTACACACACTGAATAATACAGAAATTAAAAAATTTAAAATAATAAAAATTGTAAATGAAATGAACCATTGCAAAATGAAGTACGTGTTTAAATGTGTGCACAGATTCACAGAAAGACGCTCCGTGAACACGAGGTGAATGCAATAAAATGCCCTTTTTCACATATGTGCCACTGTGACCACCAGCCAGTGGTCGCAGTGGCACATATGTTGTGTTAAAGCCTACCACACACACATACACACACACACAAAGAGAGCGTTGACATCAGGGGTCAAGGTTAGGTCGGCTGGCAGCCAAAAGGGTTGCAGCCTGCTGATACCCTTGGTGAGAAGAGGGAAAGTGACAGGGGCGAGACCTGCTTCTCTGACTAACACACTCACACACAACACACAAATCCCAACAATAATACAATAATTACAAACTGGATCCTACAGTTGTAGTTTTGTGGTCACTATTTTCTACAGATTAAATAACACTGAATGCCTACCAAAGCATGCTGAAAATTGTGTTTTATCTAGAAATTTTAATTTGTTCTATGCAGTCACTACAGCTGTTAAGTCTGTGAGTGCTTGCCAGATGTTTCCAAGAGATTTCCCCAAAACACCTTTTAAATAAGGTTTTAAATCAAGGATGAGCAACTCAATTGATGGAAGGGGCTGCAATGTTTTGTTGGCTTAGAGACTTTTGTAACTGTGTTATTTATACAGAGTTGGCGGTACCACTTTACAATAAGGCTCCCATTATAGATGGCTTTTAAAGAGTTTATAGATAGGTTATTAATTCATCTGTAAACACTTTATAAATTATTAATAAGTGTTTATCATGCATTAATTAAGAACAAAAAAAGAGACTAAACTGTCTGGTTTCTTTCCAAATACTGAGCCAAATCTGTTTGTGTATTAAACGTTTCAGACTAGTTTACCTTGTAAGCACAATAATGATTAGGAAACACATATTTTAACATATAATATTGTACTGTATTACTGCATTATAAATATCCACAAATATTAAAGGGATCCTTATTGTAAAGTGTAAAACTGTACACTATTTTTGGTGGGGTGGTATTGTGTTAACGTGACATTTTTTACTTTTTTGATACATCATCATTGTTGACATTAGTTATGTTTGAACAATAAGTGCAAATATTGATAATCAACACTAAGTTTTAAAAACTGTGATTTTTCACGTTAAACACTAACTTTTGGCATTTATAAATGCTTATTTGTCATTAATAAATAGTGTACTGTATTACACTTAAGTCTCCCTTTGACAGTTGTGGACATTTATAATACAGTAACACAATACACATATACAATACACAATATTAATATGTTAAAATATGTGTTTGTTGTCATTATTGTACTTACTAGTAACCTAGTCTGAAATGTTTAATAAGCACCTTTAGATGTAATATGTACGTGAACAGATTTGTCTCATTATTTGGTAAGAAACTGGACAGTTTTGTCTCTTTTTTGTCCTTAATTATTGCATAATATACATTTATTAATGATTTATAAAGTGTTTACAGATGAATTAATAACCTATCTATAAACTCTTTATAAGCCATCTATAAGGGGAGCCTTATAGTAAAGTAGTACCGAGTTGGCTAWTGTGAGCAATTTGTGAAGGTGTAGTCTGCACAGATATGGGCAAACACAATTTTTTTTTTTCAAAAAGCCAAAGACGTTTTGTTTGTAAAGTACCTCTGCATCTTTCTCCACATTCTAGCCTTGTGATTGACATTTAGGCTGACACTTGCAACCAGCCTTTCCACTTGCATGTCAATGTGAGCTTGTGTGTCCGTGCATTTGTGTGCACGTGCATTTAAGGCTTACAAGCTACACCCATCAGATTGTCGTTCACAATGCCTGTGTGTCACTGCAAGCCGTTACTCATGCATGTGTGTGTGTGCGTATAAGTGTGTGTAAAACGTCAGTCACCCAAGGCTGTGCTAAATGTTAAACATTTCAGGACTCACAGAAAAGAGACAGATAGCATTGTACTGGGCTGCTACTGGGCTGTCAAACTCACAATGGGCTCAGAGGGCCTGTGTGTGGAAAATGAGGAAAATGCACAGTTACATATAAATGATTCTGTTAGAAGTTTCTTTTGTTTGTGTCAGCCCTTTGTGTGTGTGTCACATATACTGTGTTGCTACCATAGCATCATAAATGAATCCCTATGTGTGTTAAAAACAGGAGTTTAGGTTTGAAATTGAGTTTATGGACTCAAAACTGACACACAGCTCATTGCTTGTTTTCAGAGAATGACAGAAGTGTCCCACCTACTGAGAAAAGAAGCTGACTGTCTTATTCTAACTGTGTTTTATGTCCTCCTACTCTTACAAGCCTTTCAGCATAAAAAACAACCAAGTAAACAAAACACCAAACCTGATTTTGCATTTTTTTTAAATTACAGCTCATTAGATATCTTTCAATCAGAGGTTTTATATTAATGACTTTATCTCTCATATGGTCTATTTTTTTTTTTATTTTATGCTACGGGTTCTCATCCACTGCTTTTGTAACACTCTTCCAAAAGTAAGAATTCTTATTTTCTGCTCGATAAGTCAGTGAAGGGGGTGGAGTGGCAACTAGCTTCTGTAACATTTTCATCTGCATCAAATGTTGGAGTTCTAAACGTTTGGATAATTGGCTTAAGACTCAAAACAGTAATTTACACTTAAGTAATGAATTTAATAAACCTTAAACAAGAATAGAAAAACAAGAATACGGTGGTCATGTTGGTCACCTGAGATGGAGCCCAGCAGCACGTTGCTCTTGATGCAGCGGTAGACGTAATCATAGCTCTGAGGTTTGAGGGGAGATCCTGTGGACAGGATGGTGTGGAGAGACTGGAGGTTGTGAGTTTCCACTGTGGGAGAAAGAAGGTACAAAATAATACGATGAAAATGTCCTGAAATCAATTCAAATGTGCAAATACAGTGTAGAATATACATATAATTGAGAAGTGTTAGAAACTTATTGAATACTACTTAGAATGTCTTTTTTATATAAAATGTTTTATTTTATGAAGTATCGACATCAATCAATCTGGTTAATTTGTGTTCTATAAGTAAATTTAGGGGCAGCTTGTTTGGAGTCCAGTTCAGAACATCAGAAAGGTGTCATAATTCTGGATTCTATTTGTCTACAACAAAAGAGGCAAACATCAAAAGTGGAAAGGTTTGTCTTTATTAGGGATGCACGATATATTGGCATTAACATCGGCATTGGCCGATGTTGGTAATTTTTAACATATCAGTATCRGTCCGATAGATAAAACTGGGCCAATATTAACGTCTGATATTAATTGCCCACTTGTTGACATTTGTGTTTCAGTTTTGGGTTGGGAAACGGTTGGTCGAGTGTAGGGCTGGGCGGTATGACCTCAAATTCATATCATGGTATAAACTGAATCCCTTCACGGTAACGGTATATATTGTGGTAGAATATTATCATAAAACATAAAGATAATGTAATTTTTAGAGCTTTTTTTTGCGGAAAACGAATCTTAATCAAAACCAGCATTTTTGCTTTAATATCTGCCTGCCATACAATGAGCTTCCACCTGCTGAACTTAGCTGCTGCTGCTCTGCTATGCGCTCATCTTCATCATCAGAGCAGAGCCGACTGTTACGTTAGCAAGTTGGATTTATGACTGAAAGAACGTTCACGTCTTTTTTTTAATCATCTCTGTAAAACAAGTTTTTTTCTCCGACAATTGGGTGTGAAAAAACTGCRGTTGTTAAAGCTTCGCTCTGCGCGATGATCCCGACGTAACTTTTCTACAGCGGGAGGGGGAAATTTTGAGGAGTTATTCTCTTTATACATGTTTTAAAACGCTATAATTTCTTCATGATATTTCGAACTCCTGCTCAGTTGTCTCGGCACTCGCAGCCCTGTTGACACAGGTGCGGTAACATAACTGTCGATAGGATGGTAGACGGTAAATTTTTACCGTAGGCCAACTTTATACTGTTTCGGCATACACCGCGCAGCCCTAGTCGAATGGTATCTGTTTGATCATGATCGTTATAGTAATGCTGCAAAGCCAGGAATAACTGAAGTAGAGAGCCATGTCAGCGCTTTGGTCGTTTTTTACAGTATCAAAAAAACACACAAGTGTGTTTGTGTGTATCCGTATATAAATAATTAGTGTTTGTGTAATATTGGTAAATACTGGTTATCGGCAATAATCAACAATATTAATATTGGATGTCGATATCGGCTGAAATTTGTATATCGGCGCATCCCTAGTCCATAATAAGAAACTGCACATTGTTCAAAGATCAGTTCTGTAAATTGCTCAAAGAGATCAATACAACAAAAACAGATACAGGAAGCAAAAATCTCTAACAAATAAGGAATGCACTCACAAAATGTGGGCATGCACCTGTGAACACCTGTGACTGCTGGCACCCTAACACGTGGCATTACTGCAGATTTCTACCCTGATGTGACTATGCTTACACACACACACACACACACACACACACACACACACACACACACACACACACACACACACACACACACACACACACACAC